AATTATTCAGAACAAAATTTGTACAATTACTGTGTCCTAAAATATTTCAATTCAAAGTTATGCTCAATAGGATTACTAGGAATGTTTCATTTCCAATGATAAATGTATATTATACTTATTAATACTTAATGCCAAAGAATGTTTTGTCACTCTAATATTATATGAAAGGACATGATTAGATTTTGTGAGCAAGTATTAAGAGAATAAGAGAAATTTGACAAGATCCTTAGCCAATTCTCCTATTCGCTTAAGAAAAACCATCAATGAATAACCTATAAACTATTTATGATTGCAGAGATTAAGAATATAGTTTGATGTATACCTAACATAAAACATGTGCCCATGTGGCATCACTGCATTTGAAGCCCTATTCGCGTGTCTCTTAATGAAATATAACAAGGTCTTGATTCCATAGCAATTGCAAGAAGAAAACTTGGACATATATTACTGTGTGTCATATAATAGGGTATATAGGACTGATTTCCAAACCCCACCCCCCACAGCTGATATGGAATGAAAGTCAGGACGTATATCTGTCATTAGGAGATATGTTAGTAGGTCCTAAGTAAACATTCACCACCCACCACGCCCTGAATTAAGCTCTGACGAATTCCCAGAGGAGCAGGCTTTGGGGAATCCACCGTAGCTTAGCAATTGAAGCCAGACTGGTATGTAATGGTCAATAATAATATCCTTGCTGATCAAATGAGAAGTCAGCATAATGGAAATGGGGTGGGAGCAGATGGTTTTCTCCCCCCCCCCCCCCCATGTTTTTGCAGAGAAATTGGATAGATATTCTCTGAAAAACTTTTGAAAAAGGAGAAAATCATCAGTGATTTCTCAAAATCAGGATTTCCCTGTAAGAATGGAATAAGCCCTTGTATTTATCCTATGGTGAGATGGCAGCCAATAAATTTGATAAATGAATAAATTATGTTTAAAAAGTTCAAGGGAAGAAGTAGTCTTGTGAATTCTTCTTTTGGATTTCACTGAAATATAGGAAACCAGAAAGACTGCAGAGTAGACCGAGGGAGAACAGTCCAGGGAAAGACACAATATAGACATATACATGCCCTTGGCTATCATGGAACTAAACAAGTATATCAACACTTCCTATTTGGATTGGTCCCAAATTGTCTTCTGCTTTGAAATAATTTATAAAGCAAACTGACTTTCACTGAATTGGAAATTGCTATTGGGAAGTGAGGGATTGTCCTGCCTGCAATTGAAAGCAGTAAGCAGACTGGAATTTGCTGTTTGTCCTATCCAGGGGCAATATCATGTATCCACTATTTCATCTCTCCAAACCTTCAGCAGCAATATAAAAGCCACCCATCTTTGCTTTTCCTGTTGCCCATTTGATATGCTGACAACAAGGAGACCATAACTACTCTACCCTGAGTTCCTACACCAACAAAAATCCCATCATCCCTACAGAATTCCAAAAGAAAGAAAAGATCAGAAAACAGCCTAAAATGTTGCATTCTGGCTCCTAAATTCTGCAGGGGTGGAAAACCAGCAATCTTGACTTTGGGGGGAAGAGACAAAGCCATCAAAGGAAGAGTTTCTGTACAGGAGTTGAAGCTCAAAAGGTGGGAAAGGGAGTAAGGCAACAGTTCCTTCCACAACACAAAGGAAGGCAGAGCATTAAAAAAAATTCTTAGCTCAGCAGTAATTTTAATTACACAGCAGTCGAACCAGAAAAAAGTAATCTCAGCTCTCCAATACTGCTGATCTCATGGGAACTCAGTTGCCAAAAGTGGTTTCAAACTGGTTCGGAACTCTTGAGTAGCACAATCCTTTTCTATCTGTAAAGAAATTTAAAAAAAAACTACTCAGTATGCACATATCTAAGTAAGTTTGCATTTCTAGGACCCATCCATATCATTGGACCTAAAAAAAGTGTTGTGAATTACAATCAATAGCTTTATCATGGGAAGGGAAGGCAAAGCCATAATAAGCACATTGAAAAAAAAATGCTTTGTTAGCATTAGCTACACCCTTCTGAAAAAGAACACTCTTCCTTTGTTCTTTCTTGTCTCATAAAACATGCCTGACTATGAAAAACTTTCTGCAGTGCTGCTGTATTTGAAAACTATTATCTTTAGCCCTTGCAAACTGCCAGGCCTTTCCATCACTTCATATAGTATGGGAGGGGCTTTGTAATCTTTTCTTTGCTATTAGCTGAAAAAAGACTAAATAATTAACAGTATGATTTTTGTAAAAGAACCCAAAAGGTTTAAATATCAAGGACTGATTAATCCTGTTTCATTGAACAAATTAATTTGTTCAGGCTATCACTTCATGTAAAATATACTGAAAATATATATAGTCAAATGTGTTTCAGAAAGTTTAGTGTCCTGTTTTAAAATATTTTTGGACAATTGATAGCCAATACCACCTTGTACTTTTCTAAGTTTGTGAGGACAACATTGTTATACAATTAAAGATTTGTATCCTTAAGGAATGTGATGTATTCAATGCTGTTTGGTCAAAAAGTCTTGTCAGTCCTGCATTCCTAGTTATAGCTACGTTCCATATGTGAGGTCTTTGGTGCTCTCTGAGTTTGCCTGTTTTCCTGAAGACATTTTATCACCAAACGGCATCAAGGGGCTTTTAGCATGGATTTCTCCTTTTGGCACTGATGATGTTATCTAGTTTGGTAATGAAGTGTCTACAATAAAACCATGAAGCTCAGAAAGCACCAAGGACCCACAGTTCAACCCTGAGCTACATATATTCTTTTCCATTGGTGGTACCTATGGTTACAACTGGGTTTACTGTCAACTCCAGGACACCAGGGACATACGTCTTTCTTTACTTTCTAGCTAAAAATGTTATTTTCTCTGGCAGGGTTTCTTCCCCAGTAGGAAGAACTGATTCTATTACATTACATCTGGATCAATTTTCTATAATTCCACTCAAAGTGACCAAATTATGTAGCCACTCTTTCTACATGACCATTGTCCATAAATCTTTCCATAAAGCAAGTAAAATTATAAGTATTTGAACTTACTATTTTTTCCATTTTAATATATATATATATATATATGACAAAATGGTAATTGAGAGAGTTTGGGAGATTCTTTTGGGTATTGTCTATTCTGGGGTGCCCAAACTTGGCAACTTTAAGACTTGTGGATTTCAACTCCCGGGAGAATTCTGGGAGTTTAAGTCCACAGGTCTTAAAGTTGCCAAGTTTGGAGACCTCTGGTCTATTCATTTTATGGCCATCACATTCACAAAAGAGTTAAACTGTTCTGGGGCTATCAAGTGCATGGCTTTTGATATAACAGATTCAAGATGCAAGACAGGCTCCTGTTCTGGAAAACATACAATCTAAAATTTATTATAGGAGAAACTACAGCATGACATCAGAATAAATTATAACACACCATTTTTTTGTTCCTGCTATTTAAATAGTATTACTTCACAGCTGCCAATTTAATTGAATTAGACAAAATATTCTAATTCTTTTATAATACAAAATCATAAGCATACCAGATGCATGAATACAAGTTTTGTTTGCTATTTCAATTCAAGCTCATTTTGAATAGTGTACAAATTTAAGATTTAAAAGAGTTAAAATCATTCCATATGCTGTAGCCTCTTGGTTCACATCAATGCTGAAATAACTATGGTGTCATTACACCAAAATAAATATTATGTAACTGATAGAAAATAATTTGCTTTATTCTCATGTGCAATTCCTCTTTTTCTTTTGTAAGTCCCATATGGCCCCTTGGAGAGCCTAGTTTAGTGGTTAAAGTGCTAGATTAAGAATAGAGAGATCCAGGTTCTAATGTTCCCCAGCACAGAGACAGGTTCCCCAACCATTCTCTTAGCATCAGGCTCTGTGATAAGACAGCCAGCAAGTTTCACTGTATGAACTTGATGAGCCCAAACAACAATATTATTGTTGTGTTGTAAATTGTTAAATATTGTATTATATTTAATATAATTTTATATATGTGTGTGTGTGTGTGTGTGTTTTCTTAAGTTTTCGCGGGTACTTACATGTATGGCCTTCAGCTTTGTTCGGGTATTTTCCCACGTCATAGTAGTGGTGCTTTTAAAGTTGTAGCAACGTTTCAGCAGAATCTCATCTGCCATCAT